CAACAGGCCTCTCCGTCGTCTGCTGCAGAGCCACAGGCCTCTCCGTCGTCTGCTGCAGAGCCACAGGCCTCCACGACAGCAGCAGTCAGCACCGCCAACTCTGGCCCAGCAGCAGTCAGCACCGCCAACTCTGGCCCCATTCCATCTTTCCTCGAACTCTGGTCCCGCTCTGGACGGTCCCTGGGCCGTCCGCCCGAACTCTGGTCCCGCTATGGACGGTCCCCGGGCCGTCCGCCCGAACTCAGGCTTACTAAGGAACGATGCCCAGGGCCGTTCATAGAAATACTTGTGTTTAGATTTCCTTTTTTGCGCCCTCCATCCTTGTTTCCCCCATCCTCCCACCCATTCTGTGTTAGGGTTCTAGGGGACGTCGAGAGCCGTCCCTTGAGAGGGGGGTTATGACGGGCTCTGTCCCTGTCTGTTTTCTTTGTATTTGTTTGTGTTTTCCACTTGCTCCTCAGTCTGCCTCTCCACTCCTCAGTCTTTATCATTCACACCTGTCCCTCATCAGCCACCTGCCCAGGTGCTCTCATTACTCACTCTCCCTCTGTCTTATAAAAAGCCTTTCTCTCCTCCACTCCTCGTCCGGTCATTGTTCTGTTTTCACAGACAACATGGTCCTCCTCTATTCCTTGTGCCAGGTATCAGTCTGATTTTTGAATCTGTCCTGTTCTTGTCTGCCTGGATCCTGCCTGTAGTTTTGCTGCCCCGTCAGCCGTTTTGTTTTTGTGGTTTAAAATAAATTATTTTTATTATAAACTCCTGCCTCGCTCGCCTGCCTGCAAATGGGTCTAAACAACACTGAGGATTGTGACAATGTTAGTGATATTATGCAGGTGGAAGAAAGTAGTTCTAGTAACGTTTTTAATGTGGGGGATAAAAGACATGTCCTGATCAAAAATAACACCAAGATTTTTAACATTAGAGCTGGAGGACAGATTAATGTCATCTAAGGAGGGAGAAAGACTGAAAAATTCATTTTTTTTGTGGTTCCTAAAAGCAGAATGGGAGGAAGATCTTTCAGTGGAACCAACTTCCAGTTTCTTTCCGTAGGGCTGACACATTGTCCAGTTTTAAGACTTTCCTTTTTGATAAATCCTGTAGTTTGGGTATGCTGGTGAAGATTCTCAGTCATGCAGGACTCAGTTTTATAACCTGAATCCCTCACTCACTGCTCTTTGAATTGAGAAAGCGCCTCGGATGAGGAGCGAAACATCTTCTGTTACAAATAAAGTCCAGTTGTTTTTGTATTTAACGTTTTTTGAATATAGTTTGGGTACATTTTTATTCTGTCTATACAACATAATACTGTCCCAGATGCTTGGAAAACAGCTTTTGTGCTGCCATTATTGAAGGGAGGAGACCCCACTAATTTGAATAATTATCGACCAATCTCCAAACTCTATTTTAGCTAAGGTCCTAGAAAAACTGATAAACTATCAAATCAAAAGTATTTGGACTCTTAATATTTTATCTTCCCATCAGTCTGGTTTCAGGAAACAACATAGCACAATGACTGCTTCGCTAAGGTTTTTAAAGATGTTGTTGAAGCTTTGGACGTTAAGGATTACTGTGCTGCACTTTACTTAGACCTGTCTAAAACCTTTGATACTGTAGATCAGGGTTGTCAAACTCCAAGCCTCGAGGGCCAGTGTCCTGCAACTTTTTGATGTTCCACTGGTCCAAAACACCTGAATCATATGACTGAATTAGCTTTTCAGTGCAGTCAAGTTCTCCAAAGTCCTGATGATGACCCCCTTTTTTGATTCAGTTGTGTTTCATCAGAGACACATCTAAAAGTTGCAGGACTCCGGCCCTTGAGGCCTAGATTTTGACATCTGTGCTGTAGATCATGACATCTTATGCCACAAGCTACCAGATATTGGCTTCTCAGATCACACTGTTGGCTTGTTCTCAAACTATCTCTCAGGTTGGAAGAAATGTGTTCGACATAACAGTACTTCATCTAGCTACCTAATGTCACTAATGGTGTGCCACAAGTCTCAGTTTTAGGTCCAACACTTTTGACAATTTATATGAATAATGCAGGTCAAAAACATTCCTGACGCATCCTTACATCTCTATGCCGATGACACGGTTGTTTATTGCCGATGTAGCAGTGTGATGTTGTTACACTAGATTGTGATTATTCCGGTAGGAATTCATATGAGCACTGGCAGCTTTTATTTTGAAAAGACGACAGATCCATTGCAAAACAGCGGATAACTTCCTGTTTCGAAATTATTTTTTAAATTTTAATTTAGTGTATTGTGAATGAACATGTGAATTATTATCTTTAAATATATTGAGTTCATGGATTGTTGTTTTGAGTGTCAGTTCGGGGTTTAAAAAGAAAAATTAACGGATCATACCATTATAGTCTGTGAAAGGTTTTCCCATGCTCTCCGTCGCGCTCTTTCTGTTCGGATTCCGTGGGAGAAGGCACTGTGGAACACTGATGAAAACCTGTTTTTGACTATTATTTTCTGCTATGTGAATTCAGGAGCATTAAAAGTGCCTTCAGATCAGCTGTTGTCTGGCTGTTATTTCCCACAAGACACAACACAGAATCAACTACGCTACAAAACTGGTGCCGTGACCTGTCGTCTGGTCAGCTGAAGCAGACCACCGATGTTGCTGGACGACGTCTTCTGGTTCCATCTGCACCTTGGAGACACTGTCAGTATGGAGTTCCTCGGACACTGTGGGTTGGGATTTTCTCGTTTCTTTTTTTTGTATTCTGGACATGTTCCTGTCTTAAATTTTCTGGGTCAAGGAGGACAAAAGGGTTTGATGACCTGACTAGTCAACCTTTAAGTTTCACCCCGGGCTTGAGCCCAGTGACTCTTTCATCCTCTCCTGTGTTTTCACCTGATGGAGAAGTGGCCTCCATCCAATTAACTGGTCTAATCAGGTCCATTGGGTCAGAAATAGGAGAGTCCATCAAGAAGTCATTGATGCAGAACGCTGCTTCGGAGCCTCAACCCAACCCAACCCCGGATCCCAACAAGAACACTTCACAGTCATTTCAAGGTTGTACTACCGTTATTGATGCATCAAAACTTAATCTTGTGTTACGCTCTAATGTTGATGTTCCACCCTATTTCAGGGGTGACAAATCTGATAAATGTTCTGTTTTTGAGTGGGAGGATCTCATGCAGGTCTACCTTAGACAGAAACCTTCCACTAATGTTGAACAGGTTGAAGTGGTTATGAACAGATTGATGGGGAGGGCAAGAGATGTCATTAAAGTTTGGATGCGTAGTAACGCAAAGGCTACAGATGTTTCCATTATCTTTAGTATTCTCAGGCAACATTTTGGAGACACCGTTTATTCAGATCTATCTCTAGCTGACTTCTACGCTAGCACACCGTACACAAACGAGGGACCTCTTGATTATTGGATTTGACTTAACAAAGCTGCAGAGGTTGCTGAACGGTGCTTGGCTAGTAAGGGGGAATCAATGACTGCTCTGAGTTCACATCTGGTGCTCATGTTTATTCGCCATTGTCCTGACAGAGAGCTGGCACTGGTTTTTAAGACCAAGCCTTCTCGCGACTGGACAGCTAGTGAAGTACAAGAACATTTGGATGAGTATTTAAGAGACCATGTGGTTGTTCGGAGCCGTGGGAAACAGAAAGTGGCGGTTACCGAGCTTTCACACGAGGGGCTGGCCGTCAATGAACAAACTGTGTTGCCCACTTATAGGTTTAGATCTGTTCCGGAGCCAGAGAGTTCTAAAACAGTTTTTGAAAACACCACAATGGACAGGGTCTTGAGCCTGCTGGAGACAGCTCTGATCAGTAACACTCAGGCTATAGGCAACAG